AAAAAAAAAAGAAAGAAAGAAAGAAAGAAAGAAAGAAAGAAAGAAATAAATAGACAGGCAGGGGTCCTGATGGCACAGCAATAAAACGTGACACTACATGAGAGTTGCAGTTTAAGTCCAAAGAACTCCCTGAGTATGCTGGGCACACAAGCAATAAAATGTGACACTACATGAGAGTTGCAGCTCAAGTTCAAAGAACTCCCTGAGTATGCTGGGCACACATGTGCCATGATCCAGGCTGGCTAATGCTGGGTGGTGGATGGCAGATCCTATTGAGGAAGCTGTATCTCTCTCTCTCTTTCTCTCTTTCTTTCTCCCTCTGTCTATGTATCTCTTCCTTATTCTCTAAGTCATAGAATTGTGACACTACATGAGAGTTGCAGCTCAAGTTCAAAGAACTCCCTGAGTATGCTGGGCACACATGTGCCATGATCCAGGCTGGCTAATGCTGGGTGGTGGATGGCAGATCCTATTGAGGAAGCTGTATCTCTCTCTCTCTTTCTCTCTTTCTTTCTCCCTCTGTCTATGTATCTCTTCCTTATTCTCTAAGTCATAGAATAAATAAACTTAAAAAAAAAAAAAGTAGGCGGGCATGAGGGCTCATTCTATAAAGAAAAAGGAATAGAGTGTCAATTTTCAGTGGCCTCTAGGAGTCAGCATGAAATTGGATTACTGCATTGATTACCATCATTGCTAAAAAGAAATTAGTAAAACTAACTTCTATTTATTAGTGGTATTGGAAGGCTTTTTTTTGCTTTAATTGTTAGACACAGCATATATATAAAGAAGTACATAGCATTCATTTGTAGCAGTTTAAAATAATAATATATGTTAATATCTTGGGTATCCACAAGAAAATTATAATAAAATAAAGTCACAAATCAACTTTAGTAATAAAAGCAGATACAAAATACTCAACAGAATGTTGGAAAACCAAACCCAGCAATGCATTCAAAAGTCTTTGCCAAGCATTAATTTTTTTTCCTCAAGAGAACAAGAATAGTTCAATACCAGTCTATTAATGTAATATATCACACTAATAGATTATGGGAGGGCCAGCAAGTGGTATAGTAGTTAAGGTGCTAGATTCCCACATAGCCAACTGTGGTTCAAGTCTCAGACCCAGTGGCTTAAAAAAAATCACAATAAATAAAGAAAGATTTTGAGAGAAAAAAAGATAATAACCAAAAGGGACAGAAAAAGTATTTGGTAAAAATTGACTATTAGTCATGATAAAATTTTCAGCAAAATGAGAAAATAACCACCTCAGCCTGGTAAAACAAATCTATCAAAAACCTCCAGTAGAGCCTGTCCATGGTCTGGTGGTTAAGACAGCTGAATCTCACATGGCCAACCAGCCATGTTCAAGTCCCAGCCCTGGCAGCTTGAGAAACATACTGGGCATGTGTACATGCATTCAAAAGGAGGGAGAGATAGAGAAGGAGAGATTGTGGTGTGGCCATTCCCCGGGGAAAACTTTCTCTCTCCCACTTAGCTCACTGTCTCTGGTGAGCACACATCCTCTGGCAAATTAAAAAAATTAAAATTAAAAAAAAGCCTAGAGTAAAATCAATCTTATTTTTAAAAGAGAAGCTTTTCATCCAAAAAGCCTACAGTAAAATCAGTCTTATTTTTAAAAGAGAAGCTTTTCATCCAAGTAAGTTATAAAGAATGTCATTCAACATTGTACAAGAACTAGCAAATGTGCTAAGACATGAAAAGGAAAAAAGAGAAATAAAAATTAGAAAAGAAGATTTAAGAATTATTATTTGAAGAGGACAGGGGAAATCCCGACCTAGTTAAAATGAGACTCACCAATGGCAGTAAGGAGATTAGCAACACCCTCTCCCTGCAGAACCTGTCCCCAGCATAGCACTATAGACTCAAAAAGAGACTATCCACCTCCCAGAAAAGAAAAGGGATGGGTTCATGAGTCCAGCTCCCCAAATTTTCTAAGAAAATTTTCTAGAGGACTGGTTTTATCTTCTTAGATTCAGACGCCTATGGGTTCAGCACAGACAAACCCACTTGCTTCTCCCAAGGGAGAGAAAGAGTTGGTAGAGACCCCTAGAATCGGTGGCTGGGCTAGTTTATGGAGACTTCTCCTGTTTGTAGGCAGTGCACGAAGACTAAGAAAAGTGCTTGCTTTGTCTGAGGTATAGACACTGACCAACAGAGAAATTCTAAATAAAAAAAGCAAAGATGGTCCAAACAAAGAAACAAAATAAGCTTCTAGAAACTGACACTAATGGAATGGTTATATAATTTACCCACAGAGAACTAAAAAGAACAAAGATACTCACCAATGTCAAGGGAGCATGCATGAACAAAGGGAGTATTTCAATGAAGAACAGTACCAAAGAGAAATCATAGAACTGAGTAACAAAATAACTGAACTGAACATTTTAATAGAGGGCTTCAACAGCAGACTAGATCAAGCAGAAGAAAGGATCAACCAACTCAAGTAATTCAGTGAGAGGAGAAAAAATAATAATAAGAGTAAAAAGAAGTGAAGAAAGCTTAAGGGAATTATGGGCCCCCATCTAGCAGACCAATATACACACTACAGGAATCCAAAAAGGGAAAAACAGAAAGGAACAAAAATCTTATTCAAGGAAATGATTACTGAGAACTTTCCAAATGAGTATCTAGATCCAAGAAGTCCAAGGGACACCAAATAAAATGAACCCACAGAAATTCGCACTAAGGCAGATATAATTAAATTGTCAAAAGTCAAAGAGAGAATTTTGAAAGCAGGAAGAGGAGAGTGTTTTATCACATAGAAAGAAACTACCATAAGACAATCAGTGGATTCTTCAGCAGAATCTTATAGGCCAGAGGAAGTAGGATGATATATTCAAAGCAACAAGAGAGAAAACAAAAACGAAAACTACCAATGAGCCTAGCTACAGTAGGACACATCACTTGGCAATCTGAGGCCACATAGGAGGCCCAGATTCAATTTTCAGCTAAAAAACAGGGCAGAGAGGAGGAAGAAAAGGAGATATGGTGGCACATCTATAGTCTCAGCTATTTAGGAAGCTGAAGCAGGAAGATTACAACACAGCAAAACGCCATCTTAAAAAAAAAAATTGTCAACCAAAGCTGAGGGAGTTCATCACCACTTTACTTGATTTACAAGAAATGCTAACACTTCTTCAAGTGGAAATGAAAGGACACTAAACAACAATGCAATAGCATAAGCATGAAATTCACTGGTAAAATAAATATACAGATAAATTAATAGTGCTATATTACTATAATGGTAGTAAGTAAATCACTTAATTCTAATATAAAAGTCAAAAGACAAAAGTATTCAAAAGAGCTGTAATGAAACATATGTTGGGTCAGCCCCATAGCACAGTGATTATTAAGCCCAGTGCATAAAGAACCAGATCCCACATAGCCTAGCATGGTTCAAATACTGGTATAGTGGCTTGAAAAATACTATGAGAATATTTTATATATGTATGCATGCATGCTCAAAATTCCGACAGGATGAAGAAATGGAAAAAAAATTATTGTGGTATGACCATGCCCCATTGGAGGATGATCTCTCTTTCTCTCTCTGGTGAGATCATATGCAGTAAAAACAAGAATATGTGTTAAAGGATACATAATATAAATAAATATAAATTATGATAACCATAACATAAAATATGAGGAGCAGAGGTTAAAGTGTATGTGATTTGGGGGAAATCACTTCCCAGGGGTGATGGCCATGCTGCTATCCCTTCTCCTCCATTCTCCTCTCGGGATCTTGGGCACATACACACACACACCCAGTGTGAATTTAAGCCACCAGGTCTGGGACTCGAACCACAGTCAACTACATAAGATCCCAGCAACAGTCATTACGCCAATTGCTGGTCCCAGATATGCATTTTTAAATATGTACATATCAGCTGTGCTTGCTATTGAAAATTATTAAATTAATTGAGATCTTTAGCGAATCAATAAAATGTGAAAAAAAAAAAAAGCATGGAAAACAACTGTATATACCAGAGACAGTGTGAGAGAAGGGAAGGAGTTGGCAGAGGGTGAGAGGTAGGGAATCAAAGGGGGGAAAAAAATCAAAATATATAAGAAACAACAAATGGAAAATTATTTGTTGATGATAACATGTATGGTAATATATTTGATTGATACAATATACAATGTATACTGGATGGGAAATCTCATTTTATATATTGTATTGATGTACAGTGAGTGACTGTAAATAGATAATAGAAAAATAAATAAACTTAAAAAAATTAAAAAGTTGGGACCAGCAGTTAGCATATGGCTATGTCACTGGACTCCCAAGTAGTCGACTGTAGTTCGAGTCGCAGACCCGGTGGCTTAAACTCACACCGGGCGTGCGTGTGAATGCGTGCCCAAGATCCCAAGAGGAGAATAGAGGAGAAGGGATTGCAGCGTGGCCATCCCCCCTGGGGGGTGATTTCTCGCTTTCTGTCTCTCTGTCTCTCTCTCTCTGCCTGGTGAGCGCATGTGCCCTATAGCAAAAACCTCTCCAAAAAAAGAAAAAAATTTTTAAAAATTAAAAAGTGGGCCAGCAAGTGGCATAGTGGCTAAGGCACTGGATCCCACATGGTTGACTCTATAGCTCGAGTCCCAGACCCAGCAGCTTGAAAATCATGCTGGGTACATGTGCTATGTGCCCAAAATCCTGAGAAGAGAGTGAAGGAGAAGGAATTTGCAGCATGGCCATCCTTTCTGGGGGGTGATTTCTCACTCTCTCTCTTTATTTTTCTCTGTCTCTCTCCAGCAAGTGCACATACCCCATGGCGAAAATCTAAAAATAAAGAGTAAAGATATTATTGCTATTAATATCCATGTTCTTTTTACAAAAACTACACCCAGTAACAGTAGAATACACATTCATTTAAAGTACACAGAGAATACTCATGAAAACAAGAGTATTAGTCATAAAACAAACCTTTAGAAATTCTAATGAATTAAAATCAGACAACATGTTTTCTCTTTTGGAAAGTTAAGTGGAGTTAAATTAAAAAGCAATACTAGAAAGAAAAAGAAACAAGAAAATCTCCAAGCATTTGGAACTTCAACATCACTTCTAAGTAATCAATGAGTCAAAAAGATGTGAGGAAAGCAAATAACACCTGAAAAGATACTTGACGTCATTAGCCAAAGAGAAATGCAAATAAAAACTAAGATAACACTTGTACATCTATTAAAATGAATCAAATTTAAAAGATAGATGCCTCAACTTATGATGGGGTTATGTTCTAAAATGCATTTACTACACTTAGGCTACCATCGTAATTTGGCAGCACTGTAACTATAGAATATTCATTATTTACCCTCAAGATTGTATCAGCAGATAGCATAGAGCCCTTAAGGCGCTGGACTCCCACATGGATGACTGTGGTTCGAGTTTCAGAGCACGTGTGCGTGCATGCCCAAATTCCTAAGAGGAAAATGGAGGAGAGGGGATTGAGGCATGGCTATAGCATAAGCATGAAATTCACTGGTAAAGTAAATATACAGATAAATTAATATGCTATATTAGTATAATGGTAGTAAGTAACTCACTTAATTCTAGTATAAAAGTCAAAAGACAAAAGTATTCAAAAGAGCTGTAATGAAATGTATGTTGGGTCAGTCCCATAGCACAGTGAGTCAATCCCCCCCCCACCTGGGGGGGAATTTCTCACTTTCTCTCTGTGTCTCCAGTGAGTGTACATACCCTGTAGCAAAAGTTTCTCTTTAAAAAAAAAAAAAAAGATTGTGCCTGGCTAGGAGCTGCAGTTTGCTGCCATGGCTCAGTATCACAAGAGTATCCTACCATATCCCACTAGTCTGGAAAAAGATCAAAATGCATATATGTTTTCATATCATCATGGAGTCCAAAAATCATTAAGTCAAACCATGTTAAGTCAGGGACTGGCTGTACTGATAATACCAAGGATGGATGTGAAGCATAACTGAAACTCTCCTGCAGTGCTGGTGGGAATACAAAATGGTACAGCCACTCCAGGAAATGAATTGTCAGTTTCTTTCCAAAGTAACACGGCAATCCACTTCTAGGTATTTATTTTAGAGAAATGAAAATTTCTGGTCCCCCAAATACTGCACACAAATGTTTACAGCAGTTCTGTTCCTAATTGCTCAGAACTGGAAACAACCCAAATATTCTTCAATTATGCCATAATCATGAATTATATTATTCCCTTTGCCAGTACTGTCCAACACTGTAGCCACATGCAGCTACTTCAATTAAAATCTTAAAATAAAGAATAAAGATACTGAGGCCGGCAGGTGGCTTGGTGGTTAAGGGCGCTGGACTCCCACATGGGGGCCATGATTCGAATCCCAGACCTGGTGGCTTATTTTCTCACTTTCCCTCTCTCTCTCTTTCTTTCTCTATTCCCTCTCTGGTCAATAAATAAATAAAATAAAGATAAACAAAATAATTCTTTAAAAAAAAGAATAAATATACTGTGGCTATTTATATGTATATGATTTTTACAAAAACTCAACCCAGAAGAAGCAGAATATACATTCACTTCAAGTACACAGAGAATATGTACAAAAATAGATGATATTCTTGGTCATAAAACATGATTTCATTAGAAATTTTAATGAATTAAATAAAATTTAATTTAATATAAAATTCACTTCTGGTGACCCACCAGCCACATTTCAAGCACTTGAGAGTCACATGTGACCAGTGGCTGCTGCCAAAGTGGACTGTGTAGATATTGAACAGAACGTTCTATCGGACAGAGCTAGTCTATACTGTCCCATAGGTGAGATTTTCATAATAAAAACCACAAAGAAGAGTGAAAGCCTGCGGTACATACTATGTTGAGTGAAGGAAGAAAAAAGATTGCAAGTGAAAAGCATATTAGATAATTCCAAAGTTATCCCTCTATGTCCTCATTAGACTGTCAGATCTGTACCTCTACCCAGGAATTTTCCAAAATGAAAAGGGAACAAACTCTGTTATCTCTCCTTAGTTATTTTTACCTACTTCAGGATCATTTGAATATGTGGTGGAAGAAAGACCATGATTTTCCTTTTCCATGAGTATGAAAGCTGCTCTGGACAGCTGCTCTGTGAAAAGGAAGCAGTTTTCCCACCTTCGGCTCTGATGACCATGATCCCTCGCTGCAGGTCGACAAAGGGCTGGATCAGGCAGAGACGTGGCTCCTGCTTCTGACTCAGGCAAATCCCGTTGTGATTCACAACCATCCAGCTCCGGTCATACAGTAGCCCGTGGTTGCCGATAGGCCACCTGGTCACCTAAACCAAAGGCAGGTGCATTTTAGACCAGGGCTTCTCAGGGTGATCGTCACAATATTGCACAGTGGTTGCACAAATACAGATGGACATCATGAATTCAGCACATACTCTTGAAGGAAGAAGGAAGAGAAGAAAAAAAGAAGACAGTGTACAAGAGAATGTGTGGGAGCCAGACACCTTCCATTCCACCTTCAGATCCTTCTCCATGTCAACCTGTGCTTTAAATAAGCAGTTCCGTGCATGAGCGACACAGAGTGCAAGTCTATAGTGAACAGTCAGTCTCAGCCACCCCTGCCTCCCAGCTCCCCTCCCCATAGATGTCCATAGCTCCTGCTCCTTGTATCCACAATAGCAGATGCCTACCTAAGCGTATTCTCCTAGAGTAAACATAGTTCTTGCACAAACTGGCTACATTGAAATGGTAACTGAGCTTATTCAATGTAAGTGTGTAAGTTTTCCTGAATTCTTCATATTTTACAGAATTAAAAGACAAATAATGCCTGGTGTCCAGATCTTGCTTTCAAATACCATTCTCCAGTAAAGACTGGGACTCCTGGTAGAAATGGTAAATCTCGCTGGATTGGGACCAGCAGATGGTGTAATGGTTAGTTACATCGCTGGGCTCCCACATAGTGGACCACAGTTCAAGTCCCGGACCTGGTATCTTAAAACTCATGCCAGGCACGTGTGCATGAGTGCCCAAAATCCCAAGAGGAGAATGGAGGAAAAGGGATTGCGGCATGGCCATCCCCCCTGGGAGGTGGTTTCTCGCTTTCTGCCTCTCTCTGTCTCTCCAGTGAGCACACACACACACCCTATAGCAAAAATCACTCTTAAAAAAGAAAAAACCTAGCAGGGTCAAGGAGTAGGCAAGATCAGCCTGCAGCATCTTGTTGTGGCTGCAAAGAAGGCATGTGCCCAGAATATAATGGGCATATGTCAAAGAGATGCGGAAAGCAATGGAAAGCAGGTCCAGGGCCAAAGTTGGAACAATTTGATACGAATACTAACAAGAACAGGATTGTATTGGGTTATAACCTAAAGTATAAAACAAATACCTGT